TGTTGTTTCTGGGGAGGATTACGGTGGATTTTGGAGCTTGGGCTGGAAAAGCTGTTGAGCATTCTGAGCTTAATGGGTTGTTGTGGGAACTTGGAAGATAACGCTAAAAACAGTGCTGAGGACGACCTGGCTGTGACGTTTCAGAGGGAAGCAAAGCCTGTATCAGAGCTGTTCGCGTACTATTTTGGATTAAGAATCTGTGGAAGTAAAGAATTTGCTTTACTGGTCAACTGGGACTGAAAAATCAGCCATGACTAGTAAAAGACAAGCATCACGGAGGCAAAGTCTTCTGGGAGTATTTCTTCAGGCTCAGCACACGGAAGTGTGTTTTGGCACCGTGAGAGGTCAGGAAAGGCCGCTGGTAAAGGTGTAGCCTCAGTTGCAGTAGAGATCTTAGAACTGGAAGGAGCCATGGAGAGCTGAGGCTTGGCTCCACGTGGCAGGGTTGGAGTCCCTGCAGACAGGCCAAGAGTCCATTGGTGAAGGTAAATCCTCGGTTGCCGTGGAGACTCCGGCATACTGGAGATGCCGAGACCATGGGACCTCTGCCAAGGACAGCTGCGGGCTGCAGTAGAGCCAGGTATGGAGTAGAGCGGGCCAGTAGAGCGGGCCTGCCTGAGTCTAGGAGACGAGCTGTGTGTACTGCAGAGCCCGAGAAGGGGAGCCGCACAAGCCCAAGGACATAGAACTACGCTGCTGGATTTTGGATTTGCTTTTCCGTCTTCTTTGAAGTGTATTTAACTTGTTTTGTTAGTTTACTGGAGCTCAGATAACAGACTAGATATTTTAAAAAGACTTTGAACTTTTTGCTTTTCTTACTATTTTATTTTTTTAGTTATTTATTACTTATTTTTTTATTTTTTTAGAAGCATTTCATTACAGCTTTAACATACTCAATAACAGTTTCCAGAGCAAAAATACATCTCTTTCAAAAGTGGCTATAAAATTTTTAGGTTTGCTGTTGAACTAATACAGTTATACAATATTGAATTCAGTTTAAGCCCTGTAAGACATTGTTTCTCTCAGAAAGACTCATTGTTTTTGCTAATAACACTGAGATGTTGGTGCATGCATCTCTTGTCTGTATGTGTCTGATTATTACTATCATAATCGGTTGCACTCGGATCCTTGGCACCTGTGTATGTCTATAAAGTCATTGGGTAGATTTCAATGATAATGTTTATCACCTCTACTAAATAACATGATATAAATTTTTATGTTTCCTCCTCAAATATAATTCATTTTTAAAATTTGTTGATATGTGTGTGTGTGTGTGTGTGTGTGTGTGTGTCACACAGAACATCCCAAACTATCTTATTCAACTATACACCCACTTCCCAGATGGCACCCTCCCATATCGGGCATTAGCAGGGATAACAGAGTATAAGGGCTCTAGTGGGGGGGGGTGACTTTGAACTTTTAAAGTGTTTGAATTTTGTATGAAGACGGTGGGATTTTAGGCTGTATGGTGTTTTATATTGTGGTATTAACATGAGATCTTAGGAAAGAAGGAAGGGCTACGGCTTAATATGACATGTTTGAGTGTCAAGGTGACAAGGGGTCAGTTGTGCTGGTTGGTTTCTGTCAACTTGACACAAACTGGAGTCACCTGGAAAGAGGGACTCTCAGCTGAGGAATTTTTCCTCAGATTGGCTTGTGGGTGTGTCTATGGGGCATTTTCTTGATTGCCAGTTGCTGAGGGAGGGCCCGCCCCGCCCTACTCTGAGGAGTGCCAGCCTGGGCAGGCGGGCCTGGGCTGTATAAAAACAGCAACCGAAAGAAATGTTGAAAATATTTGGGAGCCTTTATCTAATCCTTAAAAGATTTTAGGGTTACGTTTTCAAGGGGAGAATGGTAGAGTAGCCAAAAGCCCAATTTAAAAAGTCAAGAAGAAAGAGTACATGAAGTTATCAGGAAAAAGTGATGGGGAGATATGGGAGGAGTTGGAGGGGAGGGAGTGGGCATGGATTTGATCAAAACACCTTATTAGGGGTATGGGAGGAGAGTTGCCTCCACTGTGGGGGTCTGGCTCCTGACTCTGGGGTAGAGGCCTGAAGGTAAGGCTGGCTGGAGAAGGCAGGCGAGCAACGGAATCCTGCACTGCTGTTTTTCAGGAAAATTGAAATTTCACTGGCTTCAACTTGGACTGTTTCCCCTGATAATCCTCATCTTGGTTTTCTTTAGGTGAGTAGCCAGACGTGTGTGGGGCAACCCATGAGACCCTGATGGTTGGGACCGGCAAGCTGTTCCACCCCAACTCCCCCAGCTGTGATGAGGGGTGCCAACCGCCTCTGGACCCTAGGGTGATGTGTCCTGCCTTCACTGTCCTTTAGTGAAATCTCACCTGGGAACCCTTGTCTCCTCCACAATCCGGGGCTAGGGTGCCAAATTATTTGTCCCCCCGCTTTGAGGGGGAAGGAGCTGGGGAAGGACAGGAAGGCAGGTCTTGGCTGAGTTGTAGCTTCTGTATGCAGAAGGTGCTTGAACTTTCACAGAGGAAAGTCATTACGAGGCCTGCAGGTGCGTCTGTAGATACCATCAGGATACAGTCCCCGAGTGGCCTTGGGCTGTGCACACCTAGTATGGGACAGGTGCTGCCTGCAACTCTGCAGGATTTCAGATGTAGGCCCTGTCCCCAGGGGCCTTCCTCTTACCCACCTCCCCCAGTGGGGTGAGCCCACTTGGCCCTGCCACCTGGCCTTGGAGCCCCCTACCCCCCGGAAGTTCTGTGCTCACTGTGCTGGCCGGAGCTGCACATTTTGGAGGGACAGACAGCGGGGGTCTCAGATCTGTGTCCTTCCCACAGCTACGGGTTCCTGAGTTCCAGAAGCCAGCTGTTGGAAGGCCCGGGAGCTGTGACCAGGTGAGCAGGGTGGAGAGTGGGATGGGGGACGGGGTGCCGACTGAATGAGCTGTCTGCTGTACCTCTGCCTCCACATGGGTGGGTCTAGGCCTCCTCTAGGCTGTCCAGAACAGCCTCAGCTGCTCCTGTTGTCTTTAAGGCTGTGCATGGGGTGGAGGAGGGGACACTGGGTTCAGCCTCAGCCTCCCGTCTGACTGTGTGTTTACCTGGGCAGCGCCCCAAACAGGGTCTGCACCCCTCCACACACCCATACCTCCCTCCTGAGCACCCTGCTGAGTGAAAGGTTTTGCTTCCATCCTGCGAGGTGAAAGGTGGAGGCCCGTGTGTCCCCACTGTCCTCCAGATCCTGACCACCTTTTCCTTCTCTCTGCCTTCCTGAGCTCGCTGTGGCTTTGCAACAGCCCCATGCTTGGCTTTCTGCCCAACCCCACTTTCCTCCCAGTAGCTAATGATTCTCTAGAACAGCAGATGGGAGACTCTCGGAGGTCTGACCCTGCCTGCCGGCTCTCTCCAGCAGCAGCTCGCCCCCTCCGGCCTCCATCACAGCCAGCATGCTGGTGCGTTGGGGCTCCAGCCTTGGCCTTGATCAGTGTTGTGCTTTCCCCCAGCACTGCGGCTGCCTGCTCTCTGCTCTGTGTTCTTCCAGTTCCCACCCACCACGTCACTTATCCATTGGCGCAGGGCCCCCCATCCTGCCCCCATTTGTGTTGGGAGGGAATCACATCTTTGATGATTGTCTTTCCCTGGGGTCCCTTGGGTTGGCTCGGCTGAGCTGGGCTGGTCTCTCAAGCTTCTGGTGGTTGAGAATGGCTCTCGGTTGAGATGCCCCCATCCCTGTGACCTCCCTGTGTGGACCTGGCTTCCTCTTGGCGTGGCTGCGAGGTTTTAAAACCAGTGATCCCCCCATGCTAGCCCAGCCTTTCAGAACTTGCCCTGAAGTCATCCAGAAACACTGGCCACCTCAGTCTCTTCCTTCCTAGGACAGGAATTCGACTCCACCTCTTGATGGGAGGGGGCTGGGACTCCACAGAGTGCTGGAACTCTGTCCCTGCTCAGACCCCACTCAGGAGTGGCTGGCGAGTGTGGGGGCAGCAAACCTTGACTGCAGGTTTCAGCCTCTGTGTCTGGGGACTTGACTCTCAGCTCGCTCACCATGGTGACCCATTCCATGACGGTCACAGGCTTGCTCTACACTCATGATCTCCTGTTTCCCTTCTGCCAGGCTCTGTGTCTGAACTTTAAATTCTCCTGGTGTGGACCTGTTTCCTGTGTTTTCTTCTGCAGTGTGGCTGTTGGCAAGCTGGATGGCCAGGAAGGTGTAACCCTGTCAAGGTATACTGCCCTCCGTGTGTGTGTGTGTGTGTGTGTGTGTGTGTGTGCGTGTGTGTGCGTGCACGCACGTGTGTGTAGGGGCTTGGGTACCTGGGCAATCTCTGACTGTAGAACACAGTCCTGCTTTCCACCCAAACCTCCTGGGGCTGCTGCGACCCGGTGGTGCAGTTGGTACTTAGTTTTAACTGGCTGAGTAGACTGTGTCATGGGACTTTTAAAGAGGGCAACTGCCAGGCTGGTTGACTGGTACTTGGAAGCAGTTTTCTGGGGTGTGGTTTTCAAAAAGACCATACAGTTCTGGCTTCTCTCTGACTTATTTTTATTTACATTTCGGGAGGTTGGTTTTTTTTTTTTCTTGGTTTTATTGAAACAGGGTCTCCCTGTATCCATAGCTAGCCTGAAACCCACTATGTCACAGACCCCCAGGCTGGCCTGGAACTCACAGAGATCCCCCTGCCTCTACATCCTGAGTGTTGGGACTACAGGCATATCCCAACCACACCCTGTGACAAAAGAGTTGTTACTTTTTGAGACATGGTCTTGGTATGTAGCACAGGTGGGTTTGGAACTTGCTATCCTTAGCATCCCAAGTGCAGCACAGCGCCCAGTGGTAAATACACACCTCAGGAATTTACCATCCCATCCTCGGTGTTACAGCAGTCGGTACTGGAAGCACATCCACATTATGGCTCATCTCTGCCGCCCATTTCTGGGATCTTCTTTCTTGCAGAACTGAAACTCTGTGCCCACAAAACCCTGATTCCCCATCTCCCTAGCACCCACCTTGTGCCTTCTGTGTGCTGCCTCTAAGCCTGGCCACTGTAGCAGCACCTACTAGGTACGGGACCCCGTAGGGTTTACCATTTGGAGACCGGTAAACTCACTCAGTGCAGTGCCACAAGGGCTCATCCCTGGACTTTCCAGCTCATTCTTTGCTTTAAGAGCCGTCACAGGGAATGCACTCATAACTGTTACTGGTGGAAATGGCTTGCCAGCTCTGGTCTCTTAGAGCTTCACACTTCCTGTGTTGACCCATCCCCAGCTCCTGTTCCAGTGCAGGTCTGTTTGCCTGGCCCACGGCTCCCCGAGGCATGTGTGGAATGACCTATGTGCCAACTCGAGTTTTGGCATTTTGTTTTTGCAGGATGGTGTATCCCCAGCCAAATGCGCTAATACCCACGTGAGTGTGATCCGGTGAATATGAAGTGCAGGATTGTAAGGGTTAAAAGACAATTTCCTTGGACTGGGGCGTAGTTCAGCGGTAGAGAACTTACCTAGCATGCATGAGGTTCCGGGTCAATCCCCAGCGCTGAAAACCCAAACCAAACACAAACACCGCCCACCCCCACCCCACCCCAGTTTCAGTCCTAACTGAGCTGCCGTGCAGCCTCCTCCTCTCCCGACTGGTACGCAGACCTGGGGCTCACGCCGTCTCCCGGCTCACTTTTCCTCTTGTGTTGCTGGGTTGTCCTCTCTGTCGTCATGAGATTGGCAGAGGTGTGGTGGGTACTGTGATGGCGAAGCTCAGCTCCTTTTATGGGTGGGCAGAGCCTAGGGGTGGGTGAGAGCTGATTGGCTCAGGCCCTCTGGGAGGGTGTGCAGCCCTGGGGGAAGACGAGGACCAGGAGGCTGAGAAGGGCTGCCCAGGTGGGGACAGCAGGCGTGGTGATCACGTGTTGCATGTGACTCTCCCTCTGCAGTAGGAAAGACGTCCTCGTCTTGACTCCTTGGCTGGCCCCTATTGTCTGGGAGGGGACCTTCAACATCGACATCCTGAATGAGCAGTTCAGGCTTCGGAACACCACCATTGGTCTAACTGTGTTTGCCATCAAAAAGTAAGCAGTGGGGCCTGGGGAGGTGGCTGGTGGGGAAAAGGTCTGCGGTGTGCCCTGAGCATCTGAGTGCCATCCCCAGCACCCGTGGAAGAGCTAGGTGTGGGGGCATGTGCCTGTAATCCCAGCACTGGGGGAGGAGAGACAGGTGGATCCCCGGCCTTGCTGGCCCATCTAGCCAAAACCATGAGCTTCCGGTTCAATGAAGGGACTGACAGAAAGAAAAGGTATCGATGGCAGATAGCAGGGTCAACCTGTGGCTTCCACACATGGACACACAGGCACGTGCAGAGATGTACGTACACATATATGCACTGTCACACAGGCATGCAGGTACAGACACGTGTACAGGTATACACATGTGCATACATGCACACACAGGTACACAGGCACACAAAAACACAGATGTACACAGGCTCACACGTGCACACAGGCACATGTACTCTCACAGGTGCACACACATGCTTTCTTACATAGACATGCATACACATGCACACCCAGACATGTACACATGCACACACATGTACACACATACATATATACATATGCACAGTCACACACACACACACACACACACACACACACACACACACACACAGAGGCAGTGTGACCAAGCTGGAGGCACAGCATATCAAATCAAGCTCTGGCTTTGTGTCCAGGACCTAGGGGAGGGGCTCTGGCAGGCTCAGGGGTGAACAACCCCAGCACTGTCTCCCTCCAGAGCTCCAGGCCGGCTGCCCCTCCCTCTGCTCTCAGCCTGGTCAGTAACCCCCCTCAGCACACACTTCAGGTGGTAGCCCTCACCCCAGGAAAGACCGCAAGGGGCATCCTGTCCCTCCCTGGGACCAGAGGGACCTGCATGCCTGCAGACTGGCTGCTGCTGTGTCCTCAGATGCAGGA